AAAGGAGAATGCCTATCTATGAGACTCAAATAGACCAAGTCCGAGGATAATGTGGTGTCGTCGAGAAGCAGTAGGTATGGATTTAAGTCATGCGATGTTGGGTGCTTATTCTTCTGGCGCAGGCCCACCCAAAAAAACCGGTAGACGAGACCGCCTTACTTGCACCCAACGGCATCAGCATCGCCATGTTCCTGTGCAAGGATAAGACTTTTACCATTCTCACAACAACTCCAATCATGTAATCCTGTAACACTTATTGGTTCCGCAACGGTATATAAAGGTGTGCATGCTGACATGCCAAGTAGCACTCATCTGCACGCTTTCTCATTCCATCGCCATGTCTGGTATCGATGCATGTATCAAGGTCGCACAGTTGACCGCTGCAGCAGGCGAAATGGCTCCGTTTCCCTTTATCAAAGGTGCTGCCGAATGTGTGGTCCTCGTACTCGAGTCCATCAAGGTATACCATCATTTTTTTTCCTAGTGTACATGTTAACGAGATCTGCAGGGCGTCTCGAAGAATAAGAAGGATATGCAAGAATTGGCTGAAAGTATCGTCGCTATACTGGTTGATATAAGGGACACCATCATCGAACATGGTCCGACTAGTGCCACGCGTTTTCAGACGATCTGCGTCGAGTATCAGACGTGAGTTGACCCACATGATCTATCTGTACTTCTCACGCAATCTATGCGCAGGCGTATAACTGATCTCCTTTCCGAGCTGAACAGCAAACGCAGGTCTCCACAGGGAATCTGGAAATACTTGAGAGCCACGAAGGTCTCGGATGATATCAACGATTTACAGCAGCGAGTACGGGCGATTCAGAAGTCCTTCCTGGTGGGTGGCTTGCTATCATTACTATAGTCCACTTCTGAACTGGCAGCAGGTCCGTACGGCGACCATGACACAACTAGCCGTCTCCGATGTTCAGGATCAAGTTGCCGCAGGATTCAGCACTCTGACTGGTTCCGTTGAGGCGTCGGAGAGGCAAATCACATCAACCATCAAGGAAAATATCGACGAGATACGCACCTTGGGTGCTCGGCAGAGCGAAAACATGGAAAATCTTTCGACAAGATTACTACAGGCTTCTCATCAACGGGGTCTTTATAAGGGGCTGGTATGCAACTTCCAATCATTCCGCCTTTGTTATTTCTGTTGAAGTAGCACACCCTCCATGTCGCTCTTACCTTACATAATCGTAGCTACCAATACTGGAGATCGAAAGTCAACGCTTACTAGCTTTTGACTTTCGACTCCAGGTATGTATCACATACCGTTTATAACCACTAGCTTTTGACTTTCGACTCCAGACCTGGCATTCTCCGCTGCGCTACGCAACCTGCTCTCAACAGGTTATGGGCCCCGCGCCTTACTAAGCCAAGCAAACTTTTCGTTCCCTCTCGCGAACCATTCGCTAGACGTCGAAGTCTCGCTCACTTTCCTAAAGGATATCACTATCCATTCGGAAGTCACATCCACACACTCTCTAACCCCAACGGTCTCTTTTTTCTCACACCACGATGAATGACTCAGACGTCGTTGACACCACCAAACGCGGTTTTCCCAACCTCCATGCTGGCAACTGGAACCACTTTGCACCTTCGTTCGAGGCTTACATGTGCATCAAGGGGCTATTTGGCCACTTCGACGGCACTGAGGAGCCACCAGAGCAAGTCGACCCTGGCGAACCCACAAGGCTCGAAAAAAAGGAGACGAAAGCTTACCTTCAAGCTCGTTCATCTGCAGCAGGATACCTCTGGCTTTGCATTGACGAATCACAGCGTGCTCACATCAGTCTCCTCATGGGTAAGCCCACAGCCATGTGGTCAAAACTGAAAGACATTCACCAACAGCAAAAACCGGGCACCCGTTTCAATGCCTACGATGCCTTATTCAGCATTCGGAAGGATGATGGAGAGTCTCTCTCTACTCTTGTTGGACGTGTCTCACAAGCCATACAAGACATCAAAGCACTCCGCCCCGAAAGGTTCACCATCGATCAACTCGACGAAGAGCTTCAATCCATGACTCTCATCCGTGCCCTCCCATCCGATTACGACAATTTTGTATCATCAGTCCTTCTTCTTCATTCTCTCAGTCTTGACAAACTCGTTGCTGCCTTCCACACAGAAGAGATGCAGCGTCGCTCTCGCGACACCACTTCAGCAACATCATTCAAAGCAAGCGCTGTCAGAGTCCAAGCCACTCATGTGGCATCATCTGATACCATCTGCAGCTGGTGCACCAACTCTGGACATACCGAGGAGGAGTGTTTCAGCAAAAAGAAAGCCAAGGAGCGAGCTATACAGCGTGTCCAGGAACGTCAGAATACAAAATCGGGCAAGAAGGCAGGAGAGGCAAAGACAGAGAGGTCAAACATTGTGAAAGAGACTGCCAGCCAAGCGAGTATTGATCTCTTGTCCCCAGCATCATCTAACTGGAATACGGACACAGGCGCTTCATCTCACATGAGCCATTGTCGAGACTGGTTTCATGTCTGGACACCACATGTGGTTCCGATTCGGTTAGCGGACAATTCAATCATCTATTCAGCAGGCATGGGGACAGTTGTGTTTGAGCCTAAAGAGAAGAATGGAGAGGTCTGTGAGGCTGTCGAGTTCCAGGATGTACTGCATGTACCTGATCTTCGCAATAACTTGCTTTCACCCTTCCATCTTACACGTCATAAAGGATATGAGATCAACATAGCCGGATCATCTGTCCAGTTCTTTCAAGACAAAGCGCTTCGTTTCTCAGCCACCGTTAACGATAATAACATTGGATATCTTAATGGCACCACTCGCACTACAAGGCCGGTAACCTCAAATACTGCGAGCACCTGTCCACTTGATCTGACTCTATGGCATCGACGAACCTGTCACAGAAGTATAAACGTTGTC